GGGGCTCCGAGAGCCTCGCCCCAGAGCCCTGTCCCCACCAGCGCCCACCCCCACTGACCCCAGAGCCCCTACTCTAGGGGTGGGAGCCCTCCTACAGGGCTGCTAGACCTAGCCTTTCTCTTCCTTCAGATTAGGGATGCCCAGGTATGGAAACCTTCTGAATCTCCCCCAGGCAACTGAGAGACAGAGACAAGTCCAGGTCCTGTCAATCAGAGACCCTGCAGTGACTTCCTTCAGATTAGGGATGCCCAGGTATGGAAACCTTCTGAATCTCCCCCAGGCAACTGAGAGACAGAGACATGTCCAGGTCCTGTCAATCAGAGACCCTGCAGTGACTTCTGTGGAACCCCTTCACAGCCCCGTCCCCCTAAGTAGTAAAAGAGGGAGCCCCAAGGTGCCCCTCCCCTGCTCGCCTCCAAGGCCAGCCTGGGGGCAAGGCCAGGAGTCACACTGCCCCCTTGTGGCCGGAGCCTGTCTGGGAGGCGCGGCCCTCGCCCAGCAGAGGGAGCCCGAGTGCAGAAGTGGCTGCCAGTCCAGGTGAGAACTCTGAGTTAAAACTGCGGGGCTGCACCCAGAAAACCAGACATCCCATAGAGTCCTGCGCCATCGCCTCCTCTGTCAGAGGTGTGAGGTCCAAGCCCGGTTATTGTGTCCCAACCTCACTTCCGCCTCAAGTCTAAGGGGATGAGGACTCCTGCTCATGCGGTGCCACAGGCCTGACCTGGAGTCGGAAGCAGGTGGGGGGAGCAGGCGCTTGAAAACCACTTTGCTGGAGAAAGATGCAGCTGGGTGCTCTGGGGAAGACTGAAAGGCTAGAGGCACATGGGGAGGTTCTGCTCTGTCCTCTAAGCTTTTGTGCGCAGGGATTCGCTCGCTGTCGGGGAGTTGGTTTCTCTCAAAACTACAATTCACTGAGAACCAGAACTGACTCCGTGGGGATAGGTTTGGTTTTTGTTAGCAACTTCACAAAGAGGAACTAATATCCATGGGCTGATTTAGTAAATTCCAGACACTTCCCTAGTGGTTAGAGAGCCCTGGTGGCATAGTGGAACATGCATTGTGATGCTGACTGCAAGGTCAGCGGTTTGAACACACCAGCCGCTGTGTGGGAGAAAAATGAGGCTTTTGCTTCCAGAATGGTTCACAGACTGGGAAACCAACCCAAAGGGTCAGTTTTAGTCAGCCTATGCAGTGGGTTTGAGTCAGAATCGATCAAGTGGCGAGGTTTTTATTGTTGTTTGTTTATGGTGATATGGAGTCTAGGACATGACTGAGAAGATTCCATCACCATGTACTCTGGGAGCCTCAGCCCCTCCCCCACCAAGCACCCCTGGAGATGCCGGGTGCGTCCAAGTCTGACGTGCAACCTTCCTTTGTCCTCAGAAATCTCAAGAGTCCGGGGCCTCGGTCTTACTGAAAAAGATTGGTCTTCAGTCAGCAGAAGACAGATTTCCAGGTCACTCCAGGAGTCAGAGTAAGTACCAGGACGGCTACACGGATCTCCCACCTCTTCCAGTTTCTCCTTGGGGATCTCAGGGAAATGCGCGTTTTGCATAGAGGGAATGGTCACATGTCAGCGAGGGCTGAAACTTGGCGCCTGTCAGTCAAAGTGAAGGGCTTGAGTGAGCACTGTAGGTCCACTCACCACAGGACCTCAACCTATTCTGTCAGCATATCCTGTGCTCTGCATGTGATGGTGGTCTGATGCTCCCCTCCCTCCCTTCTGGATTCCAGGGAGGGCCAGGCACAAGGGCCAGAATAGGGAGTGGGGCAGGATAGCACATTGAGGAAGAAGTGAGGAGGGGGTGGGCAGAAAAAGAAAGAGAATCACCTGTATGGGCTGTTTAACAAGATACCATTGGTGATTTCCTTTCTTGATAAGGGCTGTGCAAATATATATAGGGCATTTCTTAAAATACAAAAAAAAAAAAATCCTTGCTAATTCTTTTTCCCTCAATCCTAAATGGTGGTCTGTGAGGGTAAAACAAATAATAATAAAAATAGAGGGGAAAGTAAAACTGAAATTATTTTTTTTTAATTTAGTGACACACAAGTTCCTGTCAAACAAACAAAAAATCAGAGTAGGAAAGCAAAGGGACCCAGTTCCTGCTAAGAGTTGACATGATGACACTATTGGTTATGTCCTAAGGCTGGGGGGGTAGTGAGCTACATGTTGGGCTACTTACCACTATGTGATTGGTTCTAAACCACCAGTGTCTCCTCAAGAGAAAGGGGAGGCTTTCTTCTCTTCCAGATTTACAGTCTCAGAAACCCACAAGGGTAGTTTTACTCTGCCTTCCAGGGTCCCTATGAGTCAGAATCAACTTGGTGTTTGTTAGTATAACCGCCACTTCCTCTCCAGGGAACGCAGTAGAGCCACCATGACTTCTGGTCAGAAGAGTAAGCACG